AACCTGACGGTCTATAGGGGAAGTAAAGTAGAGTTCTCTGACCTCGGCATGTAAAGAGATAGTATGTTCAGCACTATGTCCGCCTTTACTTTCCCTAACGTGAGTTAGGTACCCATCAGAGTTGGGTGGACTCAGGGACGGTCTACTGACCTGAACCCGTATTAGCAGTCCAGCTCTCTACCGCTAGACCACTCTGTCCCCTTAGGTATGTTATAAAGTGCTGTATTCCGCCGCATTGATTTTTAACATTGCCTTGTGAAGATTTTAGCTTTCAGCAAAGAAATTCCAACGCAAGTTCCGGAGTTAGAATTAAAATGTATCAAAGCTCAAATGCAAACATCAACCACTGCAAAGTTTTGCATTGTGCGTTTAAATATTTTTTTTTTTTTTCACTTTTGTGATTACGAAATAGCGGCTAATTGGAAAAATTAAAAAAAAAACAACTATTGCTTTCAGACAAAATAATTACATCATTATCCACAATCTGTCTCCTTTTGTTTAGAATTAAGAAAAATGAAATATTGTTTTTTTCACAGTGTTTAAATGTTTTATTTTTTATTATACAGAAAACAGAAATGTTATAAACACATGCCGGCCTTGATTCTGCGCGAGAATAATCTATAACATATCTTTATATAATAATTAATATATCTGCTAGCCTAATTAATTATTGAGTTGGCTTTTTTTGCTTTTAACATGTTGGGGAAATCCTATTTAAAATAAAATAATACTTAACAAAGTAATTTTTAAGTATGACAATGTTCTTTCAGTCGCGGAACTAGATAAAAAGGGCCACCCCGCAAAAAAAAATATTTAGGCCCCCCCATATATATATATATATATATATATATATATATATATATATATATATATATATATATATATATATATATATATATATATATATATATATATATATATATATATATATATATATATATATATATATATATATATATATATGTATATATATATATGTATATATATATATATATATGTAACTAGTGTAGTTACTAAAGACTATTGATAAGAACGCAATACAGTCTGACGCAACAGATGCAGGTGGTGTGGACTGATAACGAACACAAACCCAATGCGTAGTTTGGGAAGCGATACGACAGAACTGCGTAGTTCATAGTTATGATGCAACGGATAGAACCGATTACGAATACAAGGGATATAATAGGATGGCACGACGAGAAGGGGACAGTTAAGAACAGGAGTTGAAGACTGAACTGTAGATACGTGTTGTGATTTGTGAGAATAGGTTTGAAGCCTGAACCATGGACACGTGTATTCTGATATGTGAGAACTAGTGAGGACAGTGGGGGTCAGTTGGTTCATTGTATTCTTGTGGAACATTGATGCATTGCTATGTGGAGCATTTCTATTGATTCATGTAATAAAGAGATAAATGTAAACCTGCACTTCCGAGTATCTATATTGTGGTTGATGTTGTGTGCTGGTCAAAGATAGCACAAGTAAATAGACTCGGTAACATTTGGCACTGCGAGTAAATACACTCGGTAACATTTGGCGCTGCGAGTAGCTGAATTGAAATACACTCGGTAACATATATATATATATATATATATATATATATATATATATATATATATATATATATATATATATATATATATATATATATATATATATATATATATATATATATATATATATATATATATATATATATATATATATATATATATATATATATATATATATATATATATATAAACAATCACAAAAGACGAACATAGGATACTCATTGCTGGCCTGTTCGGGATTTGAAAAAACATCAATTTAAAAAATTTTCAACATCATGTCATGTTTGTAAGTGCATTCGTGTGTTTTGTGAAAATCAGTTTAATTATTTTTTTAAAAAGAAACTCTCTTAACATCACGTCGGTCAAAATAATATAAAACATGAAGGCTTTGTATAAGTAATAGTATCTCGTGTTATGTTTTTTAATTGTTTTTTTTTAATATATTTTTAATTTTTTAAATATTAATGATTTAATATATTTCCTTTTTATAGAATGTTAATCTTTAGTAATTTCTTATAAAAAAATAATAATTAAAGGAAGCAATTGGTTTTTAATTTGTTTAGTACACATCTATTAAAATGAGCTTATGATTACCCCTATTTGACAATTTTTATAAAAAAGGAAATAAGTCATGGAAGTGGTATGAACATTTGCTTATCTTTGATAAGTTTAATTGTAGGAGAAAGACTCGGCTTTCACAGTTAAAAAACAAAGGGAAAAAGAATATACAAGAGCATGGGGTGGTGTCTATAGAATAAACATAAACCAACTGCAGCTACGATAATTTTTTACAAAACAACCATCAAGTCAAAAATGAATGAAAATTTCCTTTTTTTTTAACTGTAAAAAATTTATTATGGTCGGCTCTGGGCCCCTAAATGGCGTGCCCCCCCCCCCCCCCCGCATTGCGGGGTCTGGCGGCACTGTAGTTCCGCCCCTGTGTTCTTTGCATTCTAGCGTCTTTATTTTCATAAGCATTCATTTTTACATCACAGTTCACAAGCTCGTATCAGGATAGCAATTACAGCATTGTGTGAGTTTACACAGGAAACTTTTTTTTTCCTTTACCGCGGAAGAAATATCAGACACTACTAAAAAGAAAGCTATTTTTTTTTCTAGGAGTATATTACTTGAGGATAAAAAAACCCACTTTTTTTGCAATTCAAAGTATTTTTTATTCTTTTTCCACTTTCTTACAATAGCTGTACACCTAAGTACACGTAATTGTCTCATCAGTTGGAAGACTAAGTCAGATATTTAATAAGAATGTAATGCGTAATCGTGGCGTATATAGCAGTTATTTAGAGAGAAAATCACCAGCCAGGGCGCAGTAGATCGTAGATAAACTTCAAGTGTCACATGTTCGTAAACATGCAGGCCACCTAAATGGATGCATCCGGCTGTTGTCAGTCATGGGGCGGGGTGGGCACCGCCATGAGAGACTATGCCCTAGACACCACTCTGTGATGCCCCAACGACCCAAACAAGGATAAAGGGATGATTTAGATTAGAAGAGAGAAAACAGTTTAAACATATCTCATTAATTGCAAAAATTACTTTAATTTAAAACCGGCAAATAAAAACATCACAATCATAATTACTACACATATTTTGATATTTGATTAATAATGATTGTTAATTAAACAGATACAACGTGTAAAAATAAAGACGAAAAATCTTAGAATAACATAACGGAGTGAATTACATTACATGCAATTACACCACCCTCTCCCCCATCCCCTGTAAAAAAAGTAAAGAGAAAGATAGCAGCATCAATCTGTGAGGGGCGGGAGGGGCGGGGGGGGGGGGTTGATATTGTATTGTAGAATAAAAACTCAGTACAAAAATGTCACTGTGGTTTTAACCTTAGGTTACCTTTATCTTTAATGCTTGCAAACTGCTTAAAAGTTAATGTTAATTATCAGGCTGTTTAATCTTGAATAGATTATCTCGTGTGATCCTGGGTACCCTGGGGATCGTGTATAGGCCTATATGTCACGTGATCCAGATTATCTTGATATGCTTCACTATCTTGAGGAGGGATACTGGATATCTCGCGTAATTCAGGGTTTTTCGCGTGATTTTTTTCTAACTTTTTATTTAAATCTCACGTGATCTTTGCTAACTTTTTATTTAAATCTCACGTGATCTTTGCTAACTTTTTATTTAAATCTCACGTGATCTTTGCTAACTTTTTATTTAAATCTCACGTGATCTTTGCTAACTTTTTATTTAAATCTCACGTGATCTTTGCTAACTTTTTATTTAAATCTCACGTGATCTTTGCTAACTTTTTATTTAAATCTCACGTGATCTTTGCTAACTTGTGATTTTAAATCTCACGTGATTTTTGCTAACTTGTGACTTTAAATCTCACGTGATCTTTGCTAACTTGTGATTTAAATCTCACGTGATGTTTGCTACCCTGTGATTTTAACTCTCACGTGATCTTTGCTTACTTTTGATTTTAAATCTCACGTGAACTTTGACAACCTGTGATTTAAATCTCACGTGATCTTTGCTAACTTGTGATTTTAAATCTCACGTGATCTTTGATTCACATGTAAATACCAACATAGTATTTTAATGTCCCTGCATTTAAAAAAAATAATTATAGCAGCATTAAAATTATGTTTCAACGCTTTTTTTAAAAATATCTAGTAGATATCAAAAATTATATTCTTGTCTTGACGAATACAGAGACGAATGTCAATGGAAAACTTGAACAAAATAGCTGCTTTAGAATTCAATAAGTAAATCAAAACTCAGTAATAGTCTTTCAAACAAACAGACAAACATTGAGAACTAAATAAAAGCTTATAATACATATATAAATAAAACCTGTATGTCTGAAATAGCAGATGATTTGTCAAAATTATACAGACATTACAATATCACAATACACTGAAACTAGTTACATAATGACAGTAAATTATAATAAAATAAACGCCTGTAGTGATCTGACAGTAGATATTTCATATGCAGGTTTTGAAACATATTTCAAACACGTTTGTAATGGAACATTACCATAACGTTATAGTTTAAAAAAACAATGGAGAGATAATCATGCTCACACATGGTGGTGTAATACGTTAAGATTTGATCGATGTTTAGTGAAAAGAAAATTAAAAATATCACGTGATGGGTCAACACAAATTCTCTCGTGAAAACAAATGCATGCTTTGATTAGCAGCCCCTGACAATCATTTCAATTAAAGTTAATCACTTAATGGACACACCTTCATGCATAAGAATACATGTCAATGGTTTTGAGAAAACACTTCAAGAAAAATGTTCTATTTCGTGTCACTGGAGCAAGTGTGGAGAGTGCATGTTTAATTACTGCATTGTCGTCACGTGGTTCAATTACTGCTGTAATTTCAGAGCTAGGGTATAAATTGTATGTGCAGCGAATTTTCGAAGATAAATCCTTGTTCGGTGTCTGGAATGTCCAGTGTGAATAACACCGAGTCCGCCTCTCATCGATTCTGTCGCATCTTTAACAAGCACGCCAGCAAAGCTTCAATGAACGGAGTCATCTTCATTGTGAAGTCTCATCATCCCCTGGCCAGGTCTTGTGGTCTCTGCTGTTGGCCTCGGCCGTCGGGGCCACCTTCTTTCACATGTATTAGTAAGTGGCCATTTCATATTGTAGTTAACTAGTTATAAATATTTAGAAAACGAAATAAACAATTAAATAAATAATTTTGTTGGTAATAAATAATGTAGCGTCAAAATCGAGAGCTAAGAATAGTTAATGGTATGTGCAAGTTCGGTTCTTACGTTTATGATATTTAAAAAGAAAACCTTTTATTTGCCATAATAACAATTTTAAAAATGATATTTCAGTTTATTTTCAAACTTTTTCCTCTACCAAATCTACTCGAAAGTCAACCTGAGGTTTGATAACCTTCCTTTTCCTGCTGTGACAGTATGCAGTGTAAACATGATGAGGTTCTCTAAGGTAAATATTCACATGGCTCTCTCTGAACACATTGACTGATTTGTTGACATCGATCTATTATCATCGATTACTTCTTTTGTTCTACTTATCATTCTGTTGTAATCGTCCTACCCACTATCGTTTCATCATTTTCATCGTTGTTTTCTTTCTTTTCGCTTTAATATTTTTAACCTTTAAAAATATACCCACATCATACACAAGAGCGCGATTATTTTTATGAATACATCTACTTATCTACGAACGTCCATAAACGGCATTATGCTTTAAAGTCGAATTTTCAACCACCCTCCCTCCACTCTCCCATAGATCACCCATCAAAAAGTGAAATCCTACCACATTTATTATCATACATCAACTAACACCACCCTCAAATCGCATGTTGTTTTTTTTAAAAATAATGTTTCTTTAGAAAAATTAAATTGCTCTTTTTAAAGCTGATAAACTTCGATCAATTTAAAAACAATGTTTACGAAAATTGAATTTCTGCTAAATTTCAACTTTAAAAAACTTTTTTAGAAAATTTTAAAGAGTGATGTCTTAACTGCCCTTCCCAACCTTAATAACACCTCCTCACCTATCGTCTCAAAGTCTACCTCCCAAACTATGACTGTCACTTTATTTATGGGCTTCCGTCTAAAATAATTTGACACGCACATACATTTATAATTTCTTAATGTGAACCAGTGTCTCCCCCCCCCCCCCCACCCCACGTCTTGATACCATGTTGCTATACTGCTACATCAACACACTAATGATTTTAGCGAATGGAGGCGTCAGAGAAGATTCAGAACCTTTTTGTCAGGGGTGACAACGTCATCAGGCCCGTGGGACGGGCAGCAAACGTCACGTGTTACAACACTGGGACCAATGACAGCGAGACACAGATGTTCTGGTCAGATTATCTCCTCATGACTGTTTGGTTGTCACGTTTGTATCTTTACTCACGCTCGTTGGAAGCTGCATTAGACCACCTCATTTAATGAAAGCCAGTGAATTAATTTTTAGTTTGTCGGCGATTATAGGCGAATATGTTGACAAACTAAAATATTCTTACTTCTCATTTATAAAATATCTTCCCAAACGTTATCTACTGTTATAAAATATAGAATACCCGTCATCGCCTTCTCTGATTCTCTTGTTTCAGCAGTAAAAACAATGTAGGCAAGTTAATGGCCGAACCAAACTTTTGGGATAATGGACTCTTACAATGGGCGAAGGACAGAGATGCGGCTCTATGCCAGGTAGTTTAAGATTTTTTTTTTAATCAATGCTTCGTTATAAGCTAGTAGTCAGTAGCACTTGGGAGGGTCGGCGTGGTCGAGTCGGTAAAGCTCATGGTTGCTATACCGAAAAGTCTCGAGTTCGAACCTTCGGGCAGATGAGGCTCGTTAGCTGGGGACAACCACTCTTCTAGGAGAGACAACTCCTAAATTAAACAACTGCTGCCTTGTAGTTTGTTCTTGGTTGGACAAAGGCTATGGAAGCAAATCCAAAAAGAAAAGCAGGCTAAAATCGGAGTCAATGGCCTCAATGGCGCATAACCAATTGGCACGTAACGCTTAATTGTGTTGGAAGTGTGGTCGAGTCGGCAAAAAGCTCATGGTTGATAAATTCGAACAAAGTCTCGAGTTCAAACCCACTGGCAGATAAATCTCGATCACCTTCAACACTAATAATTAAGAACGAAGAAGAAGAAGAAGTAGCACTTGGTATTTTCTCAATTAAAGAAGTTCGATAATTAATACAATTAATTAAATATTTAATTATAGTAAAAAAAAAGTAAAGTTCACTTTTCAAACCTGACGGTCTATATAAGTAGAGTTCACTTGTTTCTGTGACCTCGGCATATAAGGAGGTACCCATCTAAGTTGGGTGGACTCAATATAATTAATCAAATATTTAATTATACCTTATTATTATTATTATTATTATACCTTATTATTATTATTTTTTGACCATAACTAGTAGAATATTTAAGTCTGTGAATGTCAAAAAGTATATTTTTATTCTATGAAATATTTTCAGACATTTTAGAAACGTGTGTAAAAATATATTTGGTGAGTGACAGGATACATGATCTCAGGATAAATGCTCTGAAATAAAATATCCGAAACATAATATCTACGGACAAAATATCTCACGGAAAAATATCTCAGGTAAAATAATAACATGGACAAAAATGTTCTAATCGACCTAAATCATCTAAAATACAATAAAATTCGCAATGCTATATTTTGCAGTGCGATAGTTTGTGTGCGACATTTGTTTTGAATCATTAGTCCATGATATAATTTGTCCTAATCACTTTTGTCTGTGATATATTGTGTCGGGGGTATTTTGTCTGAAATCATTTGTCATGGAGCCAATTGGTGCCATGTATCTGATGCTGTGGGGGGGGGGGGGGGGGGTTAAGGCGTGCGCGACCAGCTGTCTGTAAGCATCTGTTTATTACTGTATTCCCCTTCGTATGTCTGTGGTCAATTGTTTATACCTTTAGTCACCTGTTTATGCCTTTAGTCACCTGTTTATGCCTGAAGTTTTGCAGGTACTGCTGGGACGGCGGTGCCTTTGAGAATTCTTCGATCTACGAGATCGATGACTATTTCACCCACGTTTTCAATCAGCAGCCACTGTAAGCCCTAATCGATTTTCTGTTACACTCAACAGGCTAATTTTAGTTTATTTGTTTACTTCTTTCTGGTTTATATAGATGTTACAGTTTCATCATCATTTTTTATTTTCGTTTCTTGCGGAGCATAGGGCCTCTGTCAAAACTTTCAATTCTCCAGTTTATACATAGGGCCTCTGTCAAAACTTTCCTTTCTCCACAGTCTATCCATAGGGCCTCTGTCAAAACTTTCCTTTCTCCACAGTCTATTCATAGGGCCTCTGTCAAAACTTTCCTTTCTCCACAGTCTATTCATAGGGCCTCTGTCAAACCTTTCCTTTCTCCACAGTCTATCCATAGTGCCTCTGTCAAAACTTTCCTTTCTCCACAGTCTATTCATAGGGCCTCTATCAAAACTTTCAATTCTTTAGTCTGTACATAAAGCCTCTGTCAAAACTTTACTTTCTCCACAGTCTGTACATAGGACCTCTGTCAAAACTTTCCTTTCTCCACAGTCTATACATAAGACCTCTGTCAAAACTTTTCATTTCTCTACAGTCTATACATAGGTCCTCTGTCAAAACTGTCCTTTCTCCACAGTCTATACATAAGACCTCTGTCAAAACTTTCCATTCTCCAGTTTATACATAGGACCTCTGTCAAAACTTTCCATTCTCCAGTTTATACATAGGACCTCTGTCAAAACTTTCCATTCTCCAGTCTATACATAGGACCTCTGTCAAAACTTTCCTTTCTCCACAGTCTATACATAAGACCTCTGTCAAAACTTTCCATTCTCCAGTTTATACATAGGGCCTCTGTCAAAACTTTCCTTTCTCCACAGTCTATACATAAGACCTCTGTCAAAACTTTCCATTCTCCAGTTTATACATAGGGCCTCTGTCAAAACTTTCCATTCTCCAGTCTATACATAGGACCTCTGTCAAAACTTTCCATTCTCCAGTCTATACATAAGACCTCTGTCAAAACTTTCCATTCTCCAGTTTATACATAGGACCTCTGTCAAAACTTTCCTTTCTCCACAGTCTATACATAAGACCTCTGTCAAAACGTTCCATTCTCCAGTTTATACATAGGACCTCTGTCAAAACTTTCCATTCTCCAGTTTATACATAGGACCTCTGTCAAAACTTTCCATTCTCCAGTCTATCCATAGGGCCTCTGTCAAAACTTTCCATTCTCCAGTTTATACATAGGGCCTCTGTCAAAACTTTCCATTCTCCAGTCTATACATAGGACCTCTGTCAAAACTTTCCATTCTCCAGTCTATACATAAGACCTCTGTCAAAACTTTCCATTCTCCAGTTTATACATAGGACCTCTGTCAAAACTTTCCTTTCTCCACAGTCTATACATAAGGCCTCTGTCAAAACTTTCCATTCTCCAGTCTATACATAAGGCCTCTGTCAAAACTTTCCATTCTCCAGTCTATACATAAGACCTCTGTCAAAACTTTCCATTCTCCAGTCTATACATAAGACCTCTGTCAAAACTTTCCATTCTCCAGTTTATACATAGGACCTCTGTCAAAACTTTCCTTTCTCCAGTCTATACATAAGACCTCTGTCAAAACTTTCCATTCTCCAGTCTATACATAAGACCTCTGTCAAAACTTTCCATTCTCCAGTCTATACATAAGACCTCTGTCAAAACTTTCCATTCTCCAGTCTATACATAAGACCTCTGTCAAAACTTTCCATTCTCCAGTCTATACATAAGACCTCTGTCAAAACTTTCCATTCTCCAGTCTATACATAAGACCTCTGTCAAAACTTTCCATTCTCCAGTCTATACATAAGACCTCTGTCAAAACTTTCCATTCTCCAGTCTATACATAAGACCTCTGTCAAAACTTTCCATTCTCCAGTCTATACATAAGACCTCTGTCAAAACTTTCCTTTCTCCACAGTCTATCCCTAGGGCCTCTGTCAAATTTTTCCTTTCTCTACAGTCTATCCATAAGGCCTCTGTCAAAACTTTCCACTCCCCCATTGTCTACTGCGATTCTTTTCAGTTGTCCCCAATTCCTTCCTACCCTTTCAGCCTCCTCCAGCATGCTACGTCGACATTTCTTCCCGGTTTTATCTTTCCGTCGCTTGCATACATTTCAGAGGCGTAGCGACCCTTCCCGGCGCCCGGGGACAAACTTTCAATTTGGCGCCCCCTCGGGAGCAAATTTTCAATTTGCACCCCCCCCCCCCCTCAACTTTTCGATTTGGCAACCCCCCTCAAACTTTCGATTTGCACCCCCACCTCAAACTGCAAAATTGGCAGCTAGATTGACATTTTAATTTGTTTTTACAACCCATTTTGGCGCCCCTAAGATCGGCGCCCGGGGACATATGTCCCCCCCCCCCTGCCCCCCCCCCCCCCCCCATCGCTACGCCTCTGATACATTTAATAAGTTAAAAACATTCACATATGTTGTCTACAAGTAAATGCTATTATTCAAACCGATGAAATATTCTTCAATTAATTAAAAAAAAATATCTTTCTAATTTCCAGAAATCTGCGCGAGGAGCTCGGTCATCAGCTGACAGATTTTATTAGAATGTGTTCCTTTAATGAGAGGTCCTGTGGATACAGGTACACACTATAACCTTGGTTTACCTTAATCCTACTTGTAATAGTATTGTGAGGTTCTATTTTTAGACTTAATGTAAGACAGATGATAAGGTCACGGTTTTAGTTTGCATGATAGAGAGGAGGAGACGTTAATGAGTGCTGGGGGGGGGGGGAGTGTTGGGGAGGGGGATACCAGAATGCACGTACACTCTCTATAAAGTGCACTTTTAAAAGAAATAACTTTAACCTAATTAAACTTACAATTATAGTACAGTTTACAGTGAACGGTAATTTTGACCCATTAGGATTTTGATAATTCTGAAGCTTTTAATATTTGGTAATAAAATATATTTTACTTAAAGAGGGTCAGTAAGAATTTCTTTCGTTACGCTTGTTAGACGCAGAGGAAAAAATATTAGAAAAGTTCACTTATTTGAAGGATCCCGCGTCAAAACCGTTATTAACTTGCAATGTTTATAAGATATTTGACAATCTGCGTTATAAACCTACAATAAATTACCGAACATATTTGACTCTCTGCTCACAGTTTCTTCCAGACGGTCGTTACCCCAGAGCACGGCAACTGTTTCACCCTCCATAACCCTGACTTTGTTGCCATCAGGAGTGGACAAAACACAGGTAGGTATTACACAACAATAAGGAAAATCATGTATACAAAAACCTTTAATATAACTAGTTTTAAAAACACAGGTAGGTATTACACAACAATAAGGAAAATCATGTATACAAAAACCTTTAATATAACTAGTTTTAAAAACACAGGTAGGTATTACACAACAATAAGGAAAATCATGTATACAAAAACCTTTAATATAACTAGTTTTAAAAACACAGGTAGGTATTACACAACAATAAGGAAAATCATGTATACAAAAACCTTTAATATAACTAGTTTTAAAAACACAGGTGGATATTATAGAACAATAAGGAAAATCGTGTTTACAAAAACCTTTAATATAACTAGTTTTAAAAACACAGGTGGGTATTGTAGAACAATAAGGAAAATCGTGTTTACAAAAACCTTTTATGTAACTAGCTTTTAAAAACACAGGTGGGTATTCCACAACAATAAGGAAAATCGTGTTTACAAAAACCTTTAATATAACTAGTTTTAAAAACACAGGTGGATATTATAGAACAATAAGGAAAATCGTGTATACATAAACCTGTAATATAACTAGTTTTAAAAACACAGGTGGATATTATAGAACAATAAGGAAAATCGTGTATACATAAACCTTTAATATAACTAGTTTTAAAAACACAGGTGGATATTATAGAACAATAAGGAAAATCGTGTTTACACAAACCTTTAATATAACTAGTTTTAAAAACACAGGTGGGTATTACACAACAATAAGGAAAATCGTGTTTACAAAAACCTTTAATATAACTAGCTTTTAAAAACACAGGTGGGTATTACACAACAATAAGGAAAATCGTGTATACAAAAATCTTTAATATAACTAGTTTTAAAAACACAGGTGGATATTATAGAACAATAAGGAAAATCGTGTATACATAAACCTTTAATATAACTAGTTTTAAAAACACAGGTGGGTATTGTAGAACAATAAGGAAAATCGTGTTTACAAAAACCTTTTATGTAACTAGCTTTTAAAAACACAGGTGGGTATTCCACAACAATAAGGAAAATCGTGTTTACAAAAACCTTTAATATAACTAGTTTTAATAAACCGGGAGTGATCTCCCGTAAACTTTCTTGAATATTCTTATATAAAATAACAGGGGATGGGAACTCGGGCTATAGACATGATTTTTTATCCATTTTAAATACTTAAAGTTTTAAAAATAGAATAAAATCTCGTACACAAAAGAATTGCACACCAAGTAAACGCCTAATAAAAAAGTGCATAATAGTGCGCAATATTATTAGTACTTTAAAAATTTACATTCGTTTTTTGAGAAATCGGAAGTAGCGTAAGTTACTACTTCCGGTTAACGGAAATTAATCAAAATTTAACAGAAGGTAGAGAATTATATCTTTTACTTACATCTGAAATTTCATTTATCTATCTGAAATAGTACTCAAGTTATAGCCTTTTGAAAAATTCAAAGTAGGAAAAGTACCACTTCCGGTTATCGGAAATCGCTCAAAAGTTGGTACGGATCTACGATTTTGATAACATACTTATATATGAAATTTCATCAACCTAGCTGTAACGGTATCCAAGTTATCGTGTTTACACACGGACACACACACACACAGACAGACAGACAGACAGACAGACACACAGACATACGGACAAGATTGCAAAATTATGTTTTTCCGTATCAGTGAGGTGTAAAACGTCGAGATTCGTAAAAATCTCGATTTTTTTTGCACGATTACAAGACTTTCTCTATACTTCGTATATACGAGAAAGTAAAAATACAGGTGGATATTATAGAACAATAAGGAAAATCGTGTATACAAAAACCTTTAATATAACTAGTTTTGAAAACACAGGTGGGTATTATAGAACAATAGGGAAAATCGTGTATACATAAACCTTTTATATAACTAGTTTTAAAAACGCAGGTGGGTATTACAATACAATAAAAATCATGTTTACAAAAACCTTTAATAGAACTAGCTTTAAAGCTTTTACTAAACCATGTGGGAATTACAGAACAATAGGGAAAATCGTGTTTACAAAAATCTTTAATTTAACTAGTTTTAAAGCTTTTAAAAACAAATGGGAATTACAATACTAAAAAAAATCATGTATACAAAACTTTTTAACATAACTAGCTTTAAAGCTTTTAAACACCCATGTGGGAATTATAATACAATAAGGACAATTGTGTATTCATAAACCTTTAAATAACAGGTTTCGAAAACAGTAACAATAATAATATGAAGTTTTTTTCTCGTGTGAAATACTACGAAAAACGTTGTCCTCTCTAGTTGGGGACAAACGATTTGTTATCAAGTACTTCTGCTTTCTGTTCGGGCAAATTTACATGGCAATTCTCTTTCGAATTAATTAAGAAAAATACACTAGTCAACTAATTAATAATATCTTGAGACTACTGTAAATTTCAGGCGTAGAGCTGATCTTAAACTTAGAGACTGAAGAATATGTCAAGGCCGTTACCTCAGCCAAAGGTGCCAGGGTTATCATTCATGAACCTGGTACTTCCCCTTTTTCTGATGAAAACGATGTAGCGATAAGCCCAGGGACATACACACAAATTGGTCTTCGAAAGGTATTACATTTTTAAAAAATGTTTAGAGTTTAAGCATTTTTTAAAAATCTGTTGTCTTCCAAGTTCCGCGTTAGCGAGGCATACCTGTTTCACGAGTTTAAGATTAAATTAAAACACATTGCTTTTAAAACCTATTTTTTAAGAATCGCTTTGCGGAATTTGATGATAATATTGGTTAGTTATATCGCATAACTAAGAGTAGAATGTGATGATTAAGCTAAGACTATTAAAACTATTAGTGTACACTACAAGTAAAGAACTTCGCCACAGAGCAATAGGCTGTATTAAAAAAATACGGAAAAATAAATACAGTCAGACTCTAAATCCTGCATTTAATTAAAAATGTGGTAGTTTTAAGAAGTATTTCTTGTTTGTCATTGGATGTCTGTTCTATGTATGGTAGGTAGTCATCAGTCGTATGGGTTCACCCTACGACCCCTGTGACGATGGAGTTAAGTTCAAGGCCAAGTATGAATACCGTTATACCAGACATGTTAGTGTACTTAGTACTAAATTCTGAATAAAGGGTATTAAGTATTGAGTGCTGAGCACAGTTCATGCATTATTCTGTGTAGAATTCATTTAATTTCGCTCTGTTTTGTGTGTCTATTGTCCAAACTATTCTAATCTTTCTTCCTCCAAACGTCTTCAGATAAATAATATTTCATGAGCTAAAATCTTTGTTTCATAATCTCGTCTTAATTCTAATCAAGCCTGAGCTTAATTCTTCATCTCAGAATCATTTCTAATCTATTTCATTAACTAGAGTATTCCACACATTCCAATGTAATAATTACCTAAAATAAAATCATCAGTTAACACAAATCACCCGTACTCAAATCCCACCACACCCCTCCCACCCTCCCAGTACTGCCAACACCAATGCCAGGGGGATCGGATCAAGGCAAAATGCAAGTGTTTCGACTACCAGCTGTACCTGAACGATGTGACAGACGACAACAGCAGCACAAAGTTGACTCAGTGTACATCACAAGAAGGTCAGAAGCTGCAGATGTAGCCCTCTGTAGCCCTCTGTAGCCCTCTGTAGCCCTCTGTAGCCCTCTGTAGCCCTCTGTAGCACTATGTAGCCCTCTGTAGCCCTCTGTAGCACTCTGTAGCCCTCTGTAGCACTCTGTAGCACTCTGTAGCACTCTGTAGCACTCTGTAGCCCTATGTAGCCCTCTGTAATTAAGAGCGACTATCTTTTATCTTTCCCAGAAAAACTTTAATGCAATATATTCAAGAACAGCCAACTGTAATTAAGATTATCTGTTCTTTAAATCTATTCTAATTCTATTTACTTTCAATCTACTCTAGAGCAACGGTGCTTGTATGAGGTTCGGTGCCAGCTTGAGAAAGATAAAAGAGCTTGTGACTGTAAAAGTCCGTGCAGGTAAGGTACATTGATGGGACATTGGTGGGACATTGATGAGACATTGATAGGACATTGATGGGACATAGATGGGACATTGACCCCTTCAGGTAATGATAAATTGATGGGACGTTGATGGGACATTGATGGGACATTGATGGGACATTGATGCGACATATATGGGACATTAGTGGGACTTTGACACCTTCAGGGAATGGCATATTGTTGTCATGTATTTAACTTAGCTGTTGATGGTATGGATATGTTGTTATAGACGATAACTCCTGTAGATGATAATACCTTAATGCAGCATCAAATACAATTACAACTCAGTCAAGATATTGTTATTGTAACGCTGTACAACATTTCTTTCCAGAGAAGTCCGGTACCAGAAAACTATTGCCCACCTTCAGTGGCCAGAGACCGGCTACCTGGTGAGTTTTTACCTGTCAGAACATAATACACCGGTATTTTAATGCTATAATTTTGACTAATTAATCATACATTAAATAAATAATACGATTAAAAAAGCAATAACTGTTTCCTCAACTTACCTGAGAATCAACCCCCCCCCAACATGAACATAGAGAATGAATGACCCATGACCCTGTCATGTACTATCCAGGTTCTCTTCAGTCAGGCACAATTTTAAAAACGTTTTCATTGGTTGAAGATCTGTTTCATACATGTCGTTAAGAAGGCAACTTCCAAATAAATTAAAAATGTAAACATGACGTTTACTACAACATATTACAGTCTGATACCTCCTGTCAGACTGTAGAGCTGAACTAAAACAAAATAAGAGCTGATGAGTTCATATTGTCAACGGAGACGGCTACGTACTTCACGAAAAACCTAGACATTATTGCCAACTTTAAGTGCATGGTTAACATTCTTACAAAATACTCTTGCTAATAGTATGTTTTTTCTTTTTAAGTATTTTTAAGTTTTTAAATTAATTCTTCTTTCTTAATTCACAGGAATACATTCGAAAAGATTTATGTGAGTCTAGAAACCCTCCAAAGATTTGTAGTCGAAAACACTTAACATTGTCTGATTTTGGGTAAGAGTTATTTTGTTTAAATATGAATTTTAGATATTAAAATGGTTCTACCTTTAGAAAATATTAATATCGTGTGACTGCTTTCGAGTAAAATATGACGAGGTTTTGAATTTTCTTGGGCTTTAAATATGCCTTTGTTAACTCAAACCTATTTATGCTGATCAAGATATTTGAATATAAAATTTGTTTTGAGTAATCTTGAATACAGATTTTTTTTTACCCTGAGATATGTTTTTATTTCTAGAAATAATTTTCCTTGAAATATTTTAATTTTAGAGTTAAATATTTTGACTTGAAAAACTTTTTCTTAAAACTTTTTTTAACGTGAGATATGTGGTCTTGTGATATCATATCCTAAATTATTGATAATTTATTCCGAAAAAAAAGTTTTTACAATTGATGAAAAAAATAATTAATATAATGTAATCTCATTTTATACACAGACAGCAACTAATCAAAGTGAGCATCTTCTTTGAAGATCTCCACTACGAAGAGCTCACCGATCAGCCTAACTATGAGGTAAGATCAGAAGAATACATCGTTCATACATCATTCATACATCATTCATACATCATTCATACATCATTCATACATCATTCATACATCATTCATACATCATTCATCCATTATTCGTACATCATTCATACGGCTTTCATACATCATTCATACATCATTCATACATCATTCATACATTTTTCATACATCATTCATACATCATTCATACATCATTCATACATCATTCATACATCATTCCTAAATTATTCGTACATCATTCATACGTCATTCATACATCATTCATACATCATTCATACATCATTCATACATCATTCATACATCATTCATACATCATTCCTAAATCATTCGTACATTATTCATACGTCATTCATACATCATTCATACATCATTCATACATCATTCATACATCATTCATACATCATTCATACATCATTCATACATCATGTTTTAAAGCCAAAGTATCGAACAATGCATGTCTGACCGTTGATATCCACAGTTCACAAATCTGCTGTCGGGTATTGGAGGATCCATTGGATTGTGGATCGGTCTGTCTGTTCTCAGTCTGTTTGAGATCGTTCATCTGATTCTTGAAGTTTTTCGCTACGTCGTGTGTCGAAAATGGAGACAAAATTAAAACCCATAATTTAGTTTCACTTCTATAAATCAATTGTCTCCCAGAAAATTGAATGTAAATTGTTCTAAGTGTTGATGATAACGGAAAAAGCCACCACTTTTTTACTTTCTCGTATATACGTAGTATAGAGAAAGTATTGTAATCGTGCAAAAAAAAATATTCGAGATTTTTACAAATCTCGACGTTTTACACCTCACTGATACGGAAAAACATAATTTTGCAATCTTGTCCGTATGTCTGTGTGTCTGTGTGTGTGTGTGTGTGTCTGTGTGTGTGTGTGTGTAAACACGATAACTTGAGTACCGTTACAGCTAGGTTGATGAAATTTCATATATATATATTTTATCAAAATCGTAGATCCGTATCAACTTTTGAGCGATTTCCGATAACCAGAAGTGGTACTTTTTCTACTTTGAATTTTTCAAAAGCCTATAACTTGAGTACTATTTCAGATAGAGGAATGAAATTTCACCTGTAAGTAAAAGATCTAATTCTCTACCTTCTGTTAAATTTTGAGTAATTTCAGTTGACGGGAAGTACTAATTTACGCTATTTCCGATTTCTCAAAAACGCATCTAAATTTATAAAGTACTAATAATATTGCGCACCATTATGAACATCTTTATTCGGCGTTCGCTTGGTGCGCAATACTTTTTTCTATGAGATTCTATTCTATTTTAAAAAGTTTAAGTATTTAAAATGGATTAAAAATCATAACTAGATCTATATCCCGAGTTCCCATCCCCTGTTGTTTTATATAAGAATATTCGAGAAAGTTTAGGGGATATCACTCCCGGTTTATTAAATTTCAGTTTCTAATCGTGATAACCTGAGATTTTCTGCTTCTTCGTTCTTAATTTTATAATCAAGACTTTTCGGTTTAGCAACCGTGAGCTTTACCGACTCGACCACGCCGACCCCCCCTCCCCCTGAGGTTTTAAATATTTAAAAAATGTAATAAAATAAATATCAAAATTTGTTAAATTCACAAGATATGTTTGTCTTTACTTATACGCCAATATTTGTGGTACACTGAATACAATAAAAAAAAAATCAAAATGTGTTAAATTCACTCGATTTGTTTGTGCGTATTTATACGTCTAGGATTGTAATACACGGAATACAATAAAAAAATACAATAAAATAAATATAAAAATTTGTAAAATTCACTCAATGCGTTTGTGTATTTACACGCCAAAGTTCATGGTCCACTGCATTAAGCGTGTTTATATTTCTGATAACACAGTACAACAACCATGGTGATATTAACCTACTTGAAAAACGTGTCCTTTTATTTATCAGGTGAAGTGCACTTTTAGATTAGCCAAATACTTTTATCAATTCATTAAAAAGATTGTTTATTCAAAGAATAGCCATTAACTTTTATTTATAAAAATTTAAATTTCTTATATGTGTAGTCGTCGGGTCGTAGTTTTATCCTTGATATGTTTCTCTAATGCCAAAATCAAGCTCAAGTAATTAAAAATAGACTCTCATTAAACTGAATCACCTGACATATTATAAGTTATCAGCCCCACTTCAAGCGGGTGTAGAAACAAATGTACTAGTCATGAATGATAGTGGGATTTAGTTTTTTTTATCATTAATTATACTGTCATGGTTATAAATAGTATGACGAACTTCGAGCTGATGTTTACATTTGATACATGTCAAAACATGAAACAAAAACACTCGTCCATATACACCTTCTCTCAAGTTTATAATCTAAAACCTTTCCACACAGACTATTTCATTAATTTCAATGCAACTTTATCACTTATTGCTTGTTAATTATGAACATATCTGCAAACAATTTACTCCAATTATTCGTGAATCGATCGCTTAGTAGCCTACAATTTGCACGGAAAAGTATAGTTTTCAAGAAAACGTATAGTAGGCGCGGAACTAAATAGTTGGCACAAAAATTATAGCATGCACGGAAAGGTATAGTTGGGATGGAATGAAACAGTTTGCACGGAAAAGCATAGTTTTCAAGAAAACGTATAGTAGGCGCGGAACTAAATAGTTGGCACAAAAATTATAGTATTATAATTAAAGTATAGTTAGAATGGAATAAAATAGTTAGCACAAAAAATTAGAGTAGGCATGGAATAAAATAGTTGGCACTGAAATATATAGTTGGAATGGAATGAAACAGTTGACACAGAAGAGTATAGTAGGCATTGAATAAATAGTAGGCAGGGAATAAAATAAAGGCACGGAATAAAATAGCTGGCACGGAGATTTGATTACAATAAAACCTCACAGAATGTAGCAGACAATCTTTGTTCAAAAAGCTGCTATCAAAAACAGTCCCTGTAGTACGAGAGGTCAATAACTACTACATAGCACGTATCATAAGTAGCACTCTAGAGATCAATGACAATACACTTTTGTTAAATATCAGACCAATAATCGCATTTAATCTGCAGTTTATCAACATGAAGTGTACGATAGATAAAGCTTTTTTTAACTAAGTTAATCACAATACGGTAATATTTTAATAAAATACTTTCATATTTCATTTCTTAATCTTAATTATATTTGAAAAAAAATATATATCTAAACAAATATATATCTATATATTTCTCAAATATGGAACACATGATTCAAGCCAATACCTTTCAAGCCAATAAAAAAAAAGTCAATAGTGAAATAATAGACCCCAGTTTTTAGAATGTTTAACAAAACTATTCTAGTAAAAGATAAACACAGATAAAACAAAAACATGTGACTTTCACGTGAAACTCCTGTTTTTAGAATGTTTATCTACTCAATACTAGCAGCAGACAGACCAAGATAAAAAAAAACATCTGACTTTCACGCGACAAGCATAAGGGTGCACCTGACTTAGGAAACAGAAGTATATAAGATCTACAGTCCAGGACTACGTATAACTGTTCCCTTATTAGCAGATCTGATCAAAGAGTAAGTAACTGAGTTCGTTCAACACTCAAATATACACGGTAAAAATAATTGCAATTTCTTGTGTAACACTTTTTTGTTTAGAGTTCCAGAAGATTAAAAGAAAATTAAAACATTTTTGAAAAATGCTTTAGTTTCTAAAAACTTTTGAACCGAAACAGTACAGGAGACGTCGTTGAAAAATTATACAGTTTAGTTGTTAGCCCGAGGGTCTTGAGTTCGGATCTCGGTTTGGAATTATGTACTCTAGGACGTCTCTGAGTCAACTCAACTCTGATCTGTACCTGGCGTATGTTGGGGAAACAAAAGACGGCTGAGCATAGGGCAGACCTCACCATCCCTTCATATGCCGAGGTCAAGAAACATACTAACTCAGCTTAATGCGTCCAATGGACCGTTTGGTTTAAAGAGGAATCCTTTTGTTTTTGCTTATGTATCAACATGTTAGAAAAAAATCAATGCATATTTCATTTACTGACTTTTTATGTTTTAATATTATAGATGTACAAGTTTGTTGTTTTCGCTTTGGCCATTGCCATGGCATCGGCCAGTATGGAGGCCAACTGGGTCATCTTCAAAACCAAGCACAACAAAACCTACACAGGAAACGATGACGTCATCAGACGGTATATCTGGCAATCAAACCTGAAGAAAATCGAAGAACACAACGAGTTGTACGCTAATGGTCTCAAGAGTTATTACCTCAAGGAAAACAAGTACTCGGATATGGTATGTGTTAAGAGCAATTACCAACAATTTTTATTTTAAACTTTATTTGAAAAAATAAAAACAGAAAGAAAACACAGCCATGAAATATTAACAAAACATCTTTATAATTTTTAGCTCGAGTTTTGAAAATACGTTCGAAAGCAAAATAGAAACAACAATGTATTAGCCGAGGTTGATATATAGAGTACTTTTTCTAGACGAGCGAGGAGTTCAGGAGTTTGATGAACGGTCTGAGAGTGAACAAAGAGCTCAACCCTGGTCAGTTCGTCGGTGGAAAGTTCAAGGCCATTCTCCCAGCAGCCGTCGACTGGCGTAAACAAGGTTACGTCACCGAGGTCAAAGATCAAGGTCAATGTGGGTCATGCTGGGCTTTCTCCACCACAGGCTCACTCGAAGGTCAACACTTCAAGGCCACTGGTCAGCTGGTCAGCTTATCTGAATCTAACCTAGTCGACTGCTCGAAAAAATGGGGTAAGCTATAAACTTTATCATAGAGTCTATGGAACACTAGTACCTCGGTGTGTAAGGAGAGACGACTAAACCTGCAAGTCTCATATCGTTCTAAAACATTGAAACCTTGTTCAGCATCAAGTAAACAAACCACCACCCAAACCAAGAAAGTCTGTATTTATCCCATGGTTGTATCATGCCTCAATACTTAGAAAGTATAGTCAGCTTTAATTTAAACAAGCTTTATATCGAACATTGCATCTTACAACAGAGGCATTTTATAAAACCAAGTAGGCCTATCCATCCATACATTTAACTTCATTTCGTTTTTTAAAATTGTTTTTAACTCCGTGGTTATCAGTTCAACATTTGAATGAGGAGTAAAAAGTTTCTCTATGTGATTCAAATATTCAATTATTTTAAAAAAATCAACAAAATAAAATGATTTAAATCCTTGACACAACAACTGACAGGTAACAACGGCTGTCAAGGTGGGTTGATGGACAATGCTTTCAAATACATCATGGACAACAAGGGCATCGACACGGAGCAGAGTTATCCGTACAAACCTGTGGTAAATGGCGAATTAGAAATCATTTGTCTATTTCTAATCAATTAATCTAATTTCTGCTTAAAGATTGAATGCTACATGTATTAGTTCAAATAAAAGAACTTTCAAAACGTGTTTTGATTTCGTAAACTAGGACAGGAAGTGCGCCTTTAAAGCAGCTACAGTTGGAGCTACGGACAGGTCGTACACAGACGTTCAAAGCGGAAGTGAAGATTCCCTCCAAGCTGCCGTTGCTACGGTATGTAAACTTTAATTGTTATCATAACTGTAAATACAGATAAACAATAGCTTACATTAGACTACCTTCGTCCAATATCTACTGATGTAATAAACCCAACTATAAATGTTTGCACAGATCGGACCAATCAGTGTTGCCATAGACGCCAGCCATGATTCTTTCCAGCAATACGGAGGTGGTGTGTATGACGAGCAAGACTGTAGCTCTACCCAACTCGACCACGGAGTTTTGGCTGTTGGGTACGACACTGACAGCAGCGGCGGCGACTACTGGATCGTTAAAAACAGGTACGTGCTAATGAACGTGTTAATGAGCTCAAAATGTAGCAACAGGTTGTTAAGATTTAAGAATTACCAACTATATTATCGTAAGAGTTCTAATTGCATCGCGTTAAGTGCCTTTCTTGCTTCTGTAGATTTAAGGTTTATTGACTCTATTTCTGAAGTCGTTGTTTGCACTGTTTGACCTCGATGTTTTGTTTCTGACAGCTGGGGCAAGACCTGGGGACAGGACGGCTATATCTGGATGTCCAGAAACAAAAAGAACCAATGTGGTATTGCCACCATGGCCAGCTACCCCGTCGTGTAAAAACAACCACACACTTCATTTGTAAATAAATTCTTTTAATTTTTTTGCGTTGTCGTTTTACTTTAATATTATTTTTCGTCCCATGACATTTTGGTATTTGCAAAAAAAAAATTTCTAGTTAAAACCCCGCGAAACAGCTGAAAGTTGTAAAGATTTAATATTATTGACCATTCATTTTCTCCAGAACCTAACCAGCACAATTTTTTTCAGAACACTGAAAATTTAACTCATTTTGTTGATTAATTTCAAGCTTACTTTGTTTAATTAATAGAATTAAATTAAAGAACTTTAATAATTAATGGTTAAGCTAAAAATATTAAATAAAAAGTGATTTAAAAATAATAAACCCACAGAGAATTGAATGAAATAGTTCAAATTTAACCGAAACCTACGAGGTTGTCGTTGGCACGGTGACTGGTGTTGAACGAATGTTCAAGACAACTTTCCTTCTAGACCAAATGCAGACTTTTCAATCGTAATGTTCCGCAGGTTCTTTGTATAGCACAGATTGCAACTACTGCTACCGTCCAACACTGGATTCTCTCTACAATAACGGCCATTGAATGATAAAAAGACATACATTGCCCTAATCTTAAAAGAACATTTACTTGTAGAAATTTCCATTGGAAGCCATGTCAGAAATAATTTTCAAAATATGGCGTTACATGTGTCATGTATGAAATTTGTTGAAATTCCACTAATGGCGCAAATTGTAGTAAAATGGAAAATAGGAAATCTAAGACAGGAAAGGAAAATAGGAAGTCCAAGAGATTAGGAGATAAGAAGCTTATTGTTTTGGAGAACGGGCAAGAAAATTGATTAAGATGGATAGGAATAAAAACAACTTTCTTAAGATTTACCGTAAAATTAAAGTTTATTAGAAAAGGCATATATCAAACACTGACAAAATATGATAAACAGAAATTAAAAATTATTTAAACTCATAACATCAACCCAACAATTAAAAACTGAGATTAAAATTGACTTTGCAAAATTAATAATAATGAAATGATTTATTGAAGAAAAATTGTATTGACGAAAGTCATAACATACATCGTAATGTCTTTTACAAATTATAAGATGGTTGAATATTATGACATTCATTATAACTTTTTATTTTAAAGAACTTTTCGAAGAATAAATAGAATTAAAAAGCTGTTGTCTTGTTAATTTTTTTCGTCTAAAAAAAGTAAAAAAACCTTAAAATAATCGCGCCAGACGACAGATTATTTAAGTAATTAGATCATAAATATTAACAATATTATCTCACCAAAATTATTCTTTATAAAAAAAAGCTCTTGTCCATGTAGAGATATATTTCAAAAATCTGATTGCTACGTGACGTTAATTGCAATAAATATCCTTAGAAGCTTTTTAAAGTAACTTATGATTGCTTATAAAATGTATAGTTTTAGTATGGATCCATTGCTTAAAGGTGTTACAACTTTAAAACACGATTTTCATGTGTTCTCGGGGAATGCTAGATTAATTTTGTCGTTTCCTTTTCAAAGACTTTTAAAATACCAATTGATTATATCGTAAATAATCGCTATAGGTTCAATCTAAAAGTCTAAATTTTCCAAATTAAAAACAAAGATAAAGTGTATTTTTACTTACTTTTATTTACAGATTGCAAGCAAAGTGTTTACTTTTCCAATACATATTATGATCACATTGGCTATTATTATTTACATCACTGTAAACTGGATATGTGAATAAAAAGTGTAAATTTTTTAAAAAATCCATTAATAAAAATAAATTTCAGCAGTCAAATCTAAGGTTGCTTTTTGGTGACATATCATTCGTAAATGTTAGTGCTAAACTTATGAATATCTTTATCATAATAAATCTGTTCGACAGAAAGGTTATTGCCATTTCTGTGGTATCTCATTTTAGGGAAGTTTTTTACACAATTTTTGCACCTTGTAAAAATAATGTTATATTTTGAAGAAGCTACTTCTTACATAAAAACATGTTTATTTTTGTATAAATAATAATTGTTTCTTTTTAGGAAAGTGATATACACAAATATAGCTTGTTGTAAAAACAATAATTTCTCTTTTTAGGGAAGTTATATACAAAAATATAGATTGTCGTAAAAACAATAATTTCTCTTTTTAGTCAAGCTATATACAAAAATATAGATTGTTGTAATAACAATAATTTCTCTTTTTAGTGAAGCTATATACAAAAATATAGATTGTTGTAAAAACAATAATTTCTTTACTTAGGGAAGTTATATAAAAAAAAATATCGATTGTTGTAAAAACAATAATTTCTTTACTTAGGGAAGTTATATAAAAAAAAATATAGATTGTTGTAAAAACAATAATTTCTTTACTTAGGGAAGTTATATAGAAAAAATATCGATTGTTGTAAAAACAATAAACAAGCAGGAGAACATCGCGGATTAACCACACTTAAATAGAATGCATAGAAGTTTATTCAACACTCAATTTAAATTAAATTTGAAAAGATATATAGCATTCAACGTAAAAGTTAGTACTGTAAAACCTAGGTTCATGAAAAAAAGTTTGGCAACATGAACAACATAAGCTCCTTAAACAACATCAGCATTAGTAGCTGTTTAATTTTCAACAAAATAAATCATAGTGAGACAACATCGATCACCATGGCACAATAAAAATCAATCATCACAGTATAACAACATCAATCATCATAGTAAAACAGCATCAATCATCATAATAAAACAACATCAATCATCACAGTATAACAACATCAATCATCACAGTAAAACAACATCAATCATCATAGTAAAACAACTTCAATCACCACAATAAAACAACATCAACCATCATTAGCTGCAAAAAACATCAGCAGCACCGTTATTACCATTTATATCACAATCACTAACAACTAACTAAACCATCAATCATTATTAGCAGATGCGACGCCATCAGAAATCAGCGACCACGCCACCAATCAGTACCAAACAGCACCATTGTTTCCCATAAGAGCACCACAAATTGACACCATTGCACCACCAACCAACACCAACAGAATCGTCCATCAACACCAACAACCATCACTCAAGTTACCATCACGCATCACTACCATCCTGTACATTTACCACACACACAGTGCTGCGAACAGAATTATTCCTCTCTTCCTCCCTCCTCCCCCGCCTCCACCACCGCAAAACTCCTCTTCTAACATATTTTTTGCTACCCCCCCGCCCTCATCCTCCGCCTCCACAACAGCACTCCTTTTCTGTTCGAAATTTTGATGTCACCCTCCCTCCTCCCCCGTCTCCACCACTGCAAACCTCCGCTAACGTCACATTTTGTGCCGCCCCCCTCCCTCCTTCCCCTCCTCCAGAACTGTAAACTCCCTGTCTTATTAGAAGTCTTGTCGTCTACCTCCCTCTTTCCCCTCCTCCAGAACTGTAAACTCCCTGCCTTTTTAGAAGTCCGACTGTCCTCTTCTTTCTTTCCAGTCTTCAGCCACTCCAAGCATACGACGTAACGGAATATCTCCAGTACCAGATGAACGATCTCGAACAGACTGAGGACAGACAGACCGATCCACAGCCCTATCGATCCCCCGATGTCAGACAGCAGGTTGACCATCTGCAAACAACAGAAGTATTTCACTCAGATCAGTGTTGTTTTGTAAGCTTATTAAAAACAGCAGCTTTTATCTTCTCCCTCTAATCCATGTTATAAAGCTTCTAATACGCTGTTAGCTTTAAATGCATTTCCTATTTTAAGCAGTATTGTGTATATACTTTTTACAAGGTTTTATTTAACTTGCTTCCTCTGTCTGTCGTCAGTGGTGACAGTCAGTCAACAGTCTGTCTTTCGTCATATATCGAAATGGCCGAGAAATATTTATGGCACTTCTGACAGATTTTTAAAAAAGTTGGCACGTGGGTCAAGACGAACACAATGACATATGACATTAAATTTGACTTTTTAGTGCATTAATACATAAAAGCTTGCTTTTAAAACTGGTTATGCGATTTTTTTCTTATAAATAAATACAAGATTACATTTTAATGCGTGACCACGAAAATCGGTCTATTAATGATTGAATGAAATCCTTTATCCACGTAAGCCATTCACGATGAATAAATCCTAAGCAATTAGTAACTGAATAAATACCTTAACAGTCTCACAATGAATAAATACAATAACAACTATACGCTGAATAGCTACCAAAACAATCATACAAAATTATATGTTTGGTGAATATATATGTAAGACCTTTTGCACTAGAGCCGCAAACTTTGAGCAAGCATTTGAAGTAGATTAATAGATACCTACCTCGTAATTTGGCTCATCTGTTAAAACTTCATAGTTGAGATCTTCAAAATAAATACTGAGTTTGATCAGCTCTCGCCTGAAAATTGACGATCGTGTAATTAAAATGTCTGGCAACCTCGTTTTTTATAATAACTATCACTAGGTCCTTGTTTGAAATACAATATTTTTGTTTACGTTGGATTGGTGGATGCATTAGGTACTCACGCTGCTAATTTGCGTGTACAATATGGATGTAGACAAACAGCTACAAGTACCCAGCATACTAAGCATATGTAATCTGACATGGTCAAGTATAAACGACCCCGTACATGACTCAGGGCTTGAGCCTGTGTTTAATACGGACTGGACTAAACTTAATTCACAATATCATCATAAATTTATAGTCATTTAAACCTAAGGCATCAAGATGTCTTAAAGGCGTCTAAATATAAGAGGAACCTTGGCAGGCATGTATATATAAGTTTAATGAACGACTAAGTTGTAGACAAATCAATTGTGACAGGACAAATTATCTCAAGACAAATGATCTTTTCCTGATATATTTTGTCCTGAGATCTTTTGTCCGTGATACCATTTGTCCTTGAGATCATGTGTCCTGATATCTTTTGTCCTGAGATCATTTGTCCTACGATCATTTGTCATGGAACCCAAATCAATGAATGTTTATATGCCAGGTAAACAGAGAAACGTACTTGAAATCCTCTGTTTTGTTGTTCTTGCTGGTGCAGATGAGGGGAGGTTTTGGTACTGAACAGATTACTGGTCGGATGTACTCCTGAAAACACAATATTTTTTTTATTTACATGTCCAATAATACAAAATTATGGTGTATGTGTGTGTATGCGTTTAAGGGTGACTAAGAACTCATTCCCAAAGTAGAAAGTTCTCGAAATTCATCCGTATTTCTGGTCATTCGAGGTCTGCGCTTGATATACAACTGTTTCTACTATACTACAACTCTTTTATCGTGTGTCAAGCCAATACATTGTTTAAAAACTATTTTTATTTAACGTATAAAACACGTACTAAAATCCAGTGTTTTACACCTTTTTATACTTAGTCATATGGGCCTACATTTGTTAAATAGAAAAAAAAATATGGTATAAAATACATTTTTCTAAAGTAGTTGATAGAAATACAAGGCAATCTTACGATGTATGTGTCTGTTGGCCAGCTTAGGGTGCTGATGGTCTTCTGGTAGACGACTTCTCTAAATGAAAGATTAACGTTTATTGTTCTAGTTTCAATAGTTAGATTTATAACACTTTTTCTATATCAATTTTGTAAAAATTGAATTCAATTATGGTATTATTGGTATGAGATTGTTACAACACAGAGTAGATATTGTTATCGTTATTCAAGGGTGACGATTTTTAGGTTCGATACTTACCCTACGTTTCATTACATATTTCAACAATTTATTCCCGTATTTGCTTACATATTACAATAATACATTATCGTATTTGCTTACACATACAATGATTGATCCACAAAAACTAACCTGCAGGGCGTCTCACAGTCACAGGAGTTATCTTCATCTAGCTCACACTTGACTCGAAACAGGCACCTCCGCTCTGATGATACGAGAGGTGGCGGGGTGAGAAAGGGGGTGTAGTGAGAGGAGTGGGTGAGAAAGGGGTGGAGAGAGAGAGAGAGGGGTGGGTGAGAAGGGGTAGAGTAAACGGCAACGGGTAAGAGGTATAAAATAGTATCAGAAAAAAAATTACACTATTACACCGTGATAACTTCAGATTTCACCAACGTTCTATTCAGTGGCGTAGGCAGGGGGGGTTAGGGGGGGTCATAACCCCCCCCCCCCCCCATAGACCCCTCGGTATATATAGAAAAAGTATGAGGGGGGTGCAAATCGAAAGTTTGAGGGGGGGGGGGGGGTGCAAATCAAAAGTTTGAGGGGGGGGGGGGGGGGGGGGTGCAAATCGAAAGTTTGTCCCCGGGTAAAAATTGGAACCCCCCCCCCCCCCCCCTTGAGACGATCCTGGCTACGCCTCTGGTTCTATTTATATACACGTTTTAAAAAATTTAACATTCATATATTTTATAAAATGTACAATCTCTATAATCCACCACTTACCTCATAATTCACAACTACAAAAAAATCTTTATCATACCGAACACCTATAAGCAACGAGGATCTAGTCAAGAGACTTTGAAGTTTAACAGCTATAAGGTACTCAGTAACTCTCCATACCTGATATTTAGTAAAGCTTCATCTGCTATTGAATAATCTCCTATCATACTGACCTGTCACACTGACCTGTCCCACTGACCTGTTAAACTGACCTGTTAAACTGACCTGTCACACTGACCTGTTATACTGACCTGTAAAACTGACTTGTCACACTCACCTGTCACACTCACCTGTTAAACTGACCTGTTAAACTGACCTGTCACACTGACCTGTTATACTGACCTGTAAAACTGACTTGTCACACTCACCTGTCCCACTGACCTGTTAAACTGACCTGTTAAACTGACCTGTCACACTGACCTGTTATACTGACCTGTAAAACTGACTTGTCACACTCACCTGTCACACTGACCTGTCACACTGACCTGTCACACTGACCTGTTATACTGACCTGTAAAACTGACTTGTCACACTCACCCGTCACAATGACCTGTCACAATGACATGTCACACTGACCTGTCACACTGACCTGTCACACTGACCTGTCACACTAACCTGACACACTGACCTGACACACTGACTTGTCTCACTGACCTGTAACACTGATCAGTTACAATACCTGTTTCATCACTGCACTGTTTCAACTGGTTTGTTTTATTTTCTTTGTCGAAGTCGAGTTCGTGTTCAAAACATCCGCACTTCTGTTGTATGATGTCTTGTACGCACTGTTTTTGACAAACCTGAAACGACAAGTGAGAAATTTGTGAGCTTTCATACTTGCTCAATTCATCACAGCTGTCAAGTCACTCAGAGAAGACGGCTCTTCACACTAACAAAATGTCAAGCCAGACAGTGGCGTAGCGAGGTCGGGTGTCACCCGGTGTTACCCCCCCCCCCCCCCAGATGCATAGCGACCCTTCCCGGGGACAAACTTTCAATTTGCACCCCCCCCCCCCCTCAAACTTTCGATTTGCGCCCCCCCCCCCCTCAAGTTTTTCTCTATTCTCTATTTATTTTGCTATTTTTTGCCTTGGTGTCACCCCCCTAAATGGTGTCACCCGGTGCGGTCAGCACCCTCCGTCCGTCCCCCCCCCCCCCCCAATATGCCTCTGAAGTCAGGCACTCAATGTCACGGTCTGTTGCGATAGTCATTCATGTCAGTCAAACTATGTCCACTCCTTTCAGGTACAATGTCCACTCGTTGCTAACACAATGACCACTTCAGTGTCACAAATATTCTACTCCTGCAAGAAAACGTCAACTGCAGTCACGAAACGTCCCCACTTTTCTTGTTTCACAATGTCCACACTTTTCCCACACACAATGTCCACACTTTCCCCACACACAATGTCCACACTTTCCCCACACACAATGCCCACACTTTTCCCCACACATAATGACCACACTTTCCCCACACATAATGACCACACTTTCCCCACACATAATGTCCACACTTTTCCCACACACAATGTACACTCACGTTTCGTGTGTAGTTAAACCCATATTGTTTTTTGAACTCTAGCCCCTTCTCACAATTATCATACGGCGCACCAATATGCTGGATTTCCCTCTGAAAATAAAATTACTTTAACATATGGCGCACCAATATGCTGGATTTCCCTCTGAAAATAAAATTACTTGAATGAGTATTATATTTAGCTGCAGCACCAATTCCCCCCTCCCTTTACCAAAACTCCTAAACCATTTTAAGACTATTTTACTTAATCTACACATTTCAACAAAGAACGGTCTATGCCTAGTTTTACTGTTTGATTTTAAGATACTTTCTGCTACTTATTTGACTTTAGCGTTAGCAAACACTATATTATCAATCTAGCAACAAGTAAAACAGTTCGTTCAAAATGGATGGGGAAAGTCGAACATACAGTAACGCAACATTATAATACAATTCATAGAGTGAAACACCTCTCCCTTACTTTGTGACAAACAGCCTGTAGATTGTTTATAAACAATTTAAATTCTACTAAATAAACTTCAGTTTGAAAGGGTTGTTTCACTCGATAAATAAATGGCATGAAAACCTACTGTGAGTAGATGAAAGGGATATAACCACTGCATATCTTCTAACATCTCCAACTAAACAGCAACATGAACTAACAGTCAGATGTTCTACAGCAACGCAAAGTTTAGTTACCTTGTTGATTTTGTTTGCCATTAAACTATGTTTCGTATCCCTAATTATATATTTGCAACACTTCACTGTTATTTATTGCTGATCACTAATTCATTAAGTGAGAGTTGTCTTACCAGCGTGAGTCCAATGACTGTGTGCACCCCCGGGCTCACGGTGATGCTGTTGTCTTCGTTGTAAGGGTCAGTCCCCGGCTCGTGGATGATCACCCTAGCGCCCCTCCCCGAGGTAACGGCCGGCAGGTATTCGTCGTTCTCTATAGACAGTATCAGCTCCAGACCTATGGGGTTAGACCACAAGTAAAATGTAATTCAAGACACCGTTATTACAATTTTGGAGTTCAAATATTAAAACCTATATTTAAAATAGTTTCTAGAACCAAGTTAATACTTACACATTTTAAACATTTAAAAAAATACTCTTCAAATTGTGGGAAATATTAAAATTGAAGTCTTAAAAATGTATGAATAAATTCAATCAATCATTATATCCAATATTAATATTCAATTTTTATCAGAACTATCTTTTAATATTTTCATTATAAGAAATCGTAAGTATAAAAACATTGTCAAGAAAAGCATACCGTTTTCTGTCCCGCTCTTTCTTGATATAAAGTCCGGGTTGTCTAGTGTAAAACAGTTTCCGTATTTGGCTGAGACCATAGGCTTGAATAGCCTGTTGATTATATGCCTATATTCACCTCAGACACTCAGAAATTTGGTTCACAATTGATCAGATATTTAGAGTGGAATCATTTATTTTAAGTCCACTTTTGTGTTCAAATTTCGATTCTTGGTTTGATTACAATAAAACAAATGTCAAAGAACTTAGCAGCTTTTCTTGTTGTTCATAAATGTATATATAAATGCAGACTCTGTTTTTAAAAGGTGTACAAAACATGCGATATTTCATTACAAATGTAAATTCTTGCGATGTTCAGTTAATGAAGTAATTAGAGTGAGGCGCTGAACTATTTGTTTAACCCTGTCCTACATCTAAAGAATTATGGTCGTTGTTTCCAGTTCAAACGGCATGCACTAGAACCACGACATGCACTAGAACCCTAGAAATATGAATCCCATAGCACGGAGGTACAAGGACACACTCACTGATAGCTGCACGACCTCCCAGCGAAGGAACACATCTTGACGAAATCTTCGAGCTGATGACTCACTGACTGTCGCTGTTTACTGCACGTTAATTAAACAGGTGTAATTGCATTTTAATTATGACTTTTTACATTTATTCCTAAGTTTCAAATAACTTCTGAAATAATAGTAATATTGTATTGAATAGGCATGAAAAGTCTATGTAATAATACTAAATTTTTGAGAAAGATCTTAGAAAAAAATATTGCAAGCGATAAAATTATAGTTACATTTGTAAAAATTAAAGCCATTTGGGAATCATCGATTGCACTCATTTTTTGTATTGAATATAAGCCGGTAGTAATTTTGTATTTATTACACAAATGTTATAAATTTTCAATTTTTATTAAAGTTATGCTCGCTGCAAACAATGTGGAACCATTTGGAAACAGCTTTTAAATTATATGGATGCATAACTAATACGTATGGTAAGCGAAGCTTTGAACATAGGGTGGTTTGACTATAGGGTGTTTGACTATAATTGGTGATTATTATTAGTTGTAAGTATATATTTACTTTTTATTATTATAAAAAACTACACATGGACAAACCACCTTTGGGCAACGCCCCTGCGTTCAAACAACAACTATGTACAAAACACCCGATGTTGAACAAATCAAACTAAAATGAATATACCATTCCCTAAATTGCTTGAACAATAAGTCTAACTAAAACGAATATACCATTCCCTACATTCTTGTTTAGTAAGTCTGACTAAAACGAAAAAAAACGCATTGATTACTTGTTCTAATAGTCTAACTGAAATGTGAATATCCTTACATTGATTACTTATGTTTTTTAATCGAAATGAAATGTAAATATCCTTACATTGATTGTTTGTTGAATAAATAATGGAAAAAATCCTCCACTTTATAGAGCGAAGAATTGTCTGTCGGGGTCTGGTTCCAGCAGTATTTACAGTACTGGAGAACAGATGACATTTTTAAAAGTAATTCTTTAAGCGCTGGAAATACATTGTAATGTAAGCGTTGTCTATTTTTTCAAATAGAAGTAACAGTAAAATCACCAGTTCTTTTCAATGTAGATTTTTCCCGTTAGCTTTGGACTGCCATTGTCCTCTCCAAAGTAACATAATGTAATAATTTAATGATTCAACTTCCATTCTAAATATTTTCTTGGGATATAGAGCTTTGTAAATTCCACAACCCAAAATTATTGTTAAAAAAATTCAGATCAACCTTTCAAAAGCTATCGATTACTTTAAGACTTCAAAGGTTCCTCATTAACCGTACGGAAACATTACTTACAACACCTGCCTAAAAGTGCAAGTAAAATCTAAATTGTCTGCACAGAATAATCTATCAATACGACCAGTCTTTTATGTAGAATTTATTCTGGCATTCATTCTAAAATATAACTTTAAATTGTCTCGCACAAAGACGTCATTCTACGCATTAGCTGTAGAATTAGTATACTGACATAAAAACGTCTCACTGAAGCCATCATTAGCTCTTGAATTTAACTCTATGTTTCCTTGCATAAAAATGTCTCAATCAACCAACCATTAGCCCTAGAATTTAACTCTATATTTTATGGCATAAAAATGTCTCAATGAACAAACCATTAGCTCTAGAATTTGTTTCCTGCTGGCATAAAAACGTTTCAATGAACCCATCCTAAACTCTAGAATTTAACTCGAGTTACCTGACAAAAACGTCTCACTTAACCCACCCTTAGCTCTAGAATTTAACGCTGTGTTGCCAAAGATAAAAACTTCTCACTTAACCCACTTTTAGCTCTAGAATTGAACTCTGTGTTACCTGACATAAAAACGTCTCACTGAACCCATCCTTAGCTCTAGAAATGAACTAGTGTTACCTGACATAAAAACGTCTCACTTAACCCACCCTTAAATCTAGAATTGAACTCGGTGTTACCTGGCAGAGTAGAGCCTCCCTCTCCGTGACCCACCTCTGTAGCAAAGGGTCCGTTATGTCCAGTCGACTTTCCTCCAGCATGGCGGAGACATTCACGTCACTGTAATATCCAAGTCACCAAATATTGTTTTATTTCAATACGTGTAGAGCCTATTTTTCGCTATAGCTTTTGTTGAAAACACAAAATATAATACTGAATTTTCTTCTTACTGAATAAACTAGTAAATAGCCAAAAACTTAAAAAATGTTAATTCCACAATATATACCGTATATTCGAAGCATTGCTGTAATGTGATGGTTTATGATGATGTTCTATTGAAGGATTAATGTCAGCATTTTTCCAGGAGTCGGGTTCTTTCTTTTTTTTCTTCTTGCTAAAAAGGTTTTGTATTGAAGTTGAAGACCTAGGCAGCTAATAGATAAAAAGTAAACTATTTTCTTTTGCTCAATCTACTTTATAAACAGATATATTAAAAAATGACAATTAGAGCTAACATACGAATGAAAAATTAACGTATTATGTTAAAAATACCGACAGGCAGCCTGCAGGCAGGTTTACCTGTGAGAACCTGAGCAGGTTCACGTTACACACTGTGACAGAAGGAAACTGTAAACTGCTGATTTCTAGGGTCACTTTGGAATAGTTCTGGTACTCATAGTAGCTCGAGAATAGGCTAAAAGTCAAGAGGAACGAAACCAATTAGAGATCATACATATAACACACATGTAGACACATGTACACACATGTACACACACACACACACACCACGCAGTCATTCAATTCACTTAAACGTTACATTCTTAGCGCTACACTTAACCGTATATAATTAAACTCTTACGTTATGTTTTGTTACTTTATCTAAATTTTACGTCATATATATAATATGTATTTATATATTTATATTTATATATACTTTTAAATTGTGTGAATAAACTTGTTAACGATAATGACATGCAATAACGAACGAAATACTGCCTACAGTAACGAACACAATAGTTCAATAGATTTATCATGACTGAAGACTCACGTCACGAGTACTTACAAAATCAGATGGAATGTGGTGGCCCCTATAGCGGCCAGCAGGAGTAACGACCAAAGCGCCTTGACCACAGGACGCCGAGACTTGACAATAAAGATCAGCCCGTTGAGAGACGCCCGTCTGGCGTACTTGTAGAAGATACGGAACAGTTGTTGGGAGGGTGTTCTCTTGAGGTGGGTTCCGTTTTTTCTCCATGGGATTCGGCTGCGTTTAAATGTTTCTTGAGCTTTGGACTCAGATTTTAGGTGTACCCCTGATTCCTTATGAAAGAAATCCATCGTTTTATTATAAGAAATGTATATAAAAAATACATGATCGAACTTACAAGATGTATGTAACTCGACGATTGATTTTATTTGCAAACAAAACATGTTTTTAGAAATTGTCAACTCTTTTTTTAAACTAGCAGACATTAAGAAGGAAGCTAAATCTGTCTGTTATTTCCAAAAACTGAACAAACGCACTAATATTAAATGTATTTTAAAAAAAAATTAATGGACAAAACTAGTTTGACGGAAGCCTTCCATTATTATTGTTGAAATGAATAAAAAATAAACTTGGTTTTGCCAACTCAGACACACCTGATTCAATTTTGTGAACGACTACCCACGGCTTGTCCGCAAACGAAAAGATAGAAGTAAACATAGAGGGCATTTAAGCGCGGCTTCTAAACTGCTACTGATTACAAACAATAATTAGTTAACAGTGCGTTCAGTGTATAACATCAATAAAAGGCAGAAATTAAAATTGCCGTGTTTAATCTACACTATTACACTCTGTCAATCCATGCTTATTATAAAATTATTTTTTTCCAATATCAAAACAAAATAATAAAAGTATCCCCCCCCCCCATGTTATGTATTTTTAAAGGGAAGTAATTTTTGCGTGTGACTATCAAGGTAAGTAATTGGTACTAATCAAACAAAGGGAAGTGATTAGTACACTTTTTAAAATTTTCATGAGGGGTGATGCATTTTCTTTGATTTTACATGACGTTAATTAAAATAAAACGTTAAGGAAACGAAGCTATTTTTTACAAAATTATACATATTTATTTTATTAATCATTCATTTAGATAAAAAATGCTTTAAAAATATAACACTAAGGCGATCAAGACGAGTTTTTTACTATATGCATGTTTTCCACAGATGCGTCCTTCCGACTACCCGCTGTCACCTACGAAATTGAGCTATACATTGAACTGAACTCCACACTAGTTAAGACACTCATTATTTAGTCCGATGTCTGGTATCTCACCCAAACCTATACGTTTATTCCTGAATACCACCATAAGATTACTACTTTTGCAATGTCTTGTGTTGAAATACTATATAAAATTCTGATGATGATATATTACCAATAATAATAAATACAAATCTATATACAACTAAAACTCAAGTTTCTTTATATGTTTGAATATTTATTTTTTGTTTTTTGTTTTGTTTTTTTGTTTTGTTTTTTTGTCTGTTTGGTTACATGAGAGAATCTGCACTATGCGTAGAGCTGTAAAATATTATTTAGGTAGAGAACATTGTTCTTTTTTACCAAACTGTTAATCATAAATTTATTTAAAGACATTAATTAATTTATTGATATATTCATTGGTAGCCAGACCACTTTATTTATAAAAGTTCAGAACAATGACATTACTTATAGTGACGTAACATGATTTATTTACTTTTCATAACAATAATGGCGGCTTCCATACACGATGTTGTTGCCCATTCAAACGTATAACGCATTATATAGCTAATTTTCTGTCGGCTATAGCTTTAACGATACGTCCGTTTGCTAGTTTTATCACGTTTCAACACTAATATCAATTTTCAACAGTCCTTTTCATTTGAGTATACAGTAAATTTTTCCAGATCTTGAATCTAAAGATCAGCTATCGAAAGAAGTTATAGATCTAGAATCTAGGTCATACCAAAATTAATTAGTTAAAAATAAAAACCATTATAAAACCACAATAAATTATTGAGTTTCTTTATTAAACTATGATAGCCCTTAAATATTTAATATAAATCTTTGCTTTTTAGCTTCAATGGTCATCTAATTGGAGAATACATGGGATTTACCTATCTAGGTTCTAGATCTGGTGTTACGGCAAAAACTAGACTTATCGTAAATTCTACATCTAGAATCTAGACTAGAATCTATATACTAAACTATTTCAGGCCTTAATTATTTTGTATAAATCTTTGTTTAGATATGGAATTGGCTAATTTGGGATATAGGCCCCTAATTTAATTTAAAACAATAATGCCTATTCGTGTAACAGGTTTCTTACTTACAGTACATTATAGTACTAATTCTACGTTAGGTAGTCAGTGCGCATATAGCTAAGATGATAGTGTAATGGCTACCATGCGGGTGGTACGGTTTTGAGACACATCACGACAAAGATAAAAAAAATTGTTTCAATTGTTGTTTATCAAACGCGGGAGGTCGGAGTGGTCGAGTCGGTAAAGCTCATGGTTGCTAAACCGAAAGGCTCGAGTTCGAACCCTCGGGCAGATGAGGCTCGTTAGCTGGGGACAGCCACTCTTCTAGGAGAGACAACTGGGAGCAAAATCCAAAATAAAAAGCACGCTGAAATCGGAGTCAATAGCAAATCGAGTCGGCAAAAGCACATGGTTGATAAATTCGAAAAAATTCTCTATTTCAAACCCTCTGTCAAATAAGGATCGATCCCTTCCAACACTAAAAATTAAGAACGAAGATGAAGAAAGAAGCAGAACGCGAATGATAAAGTTGCCCATTGGGACCTCGCGAGACACAGGGCAGGTGAAGTAGAGTTGACCTGTTTTTATGACCTCAGCAAATGATTGGATAGGGTGGTCAAGCCCATGCTCGGCCGAAATCGGTGTTTTTAAAAGACTAAAACTTCTGAGGTGTGACGTCTTTTTTAATGTTGGGGTCTGGTTATTTTGTGATGATAAGTGACGGACATGATGTCATTTATGGATGACCCCCCGAAACCTACAGTTATCTAATGATAACGGGTAGTCTAGTTAAAGTTAAGTTTATCATTTTAAAAAAAGTGGGCAAATGCGTACAAATGAACTAAAGCCAGCGGTGATCGAATTGTAACAGAAATGAAAGTTTGATGATGTCTTCAAAAGAGGCATTGAATAAATGCTTTGGTTTGAGTTTAAGCTTCACTAACTGTTTACTTTTTGAGCTATGAAATGTGACGTGCAAAAGAAAGGACTGATATGTAGAAAAAATACTGTAGCTGTCTTGTCACGATAAAATACGACCTAGAGTTATTTTTTAAGATGTGCAGTATATTTAAATATTCTCTTGTACTGCATCTTGGGTTGTTTCCCTTATTGAATTTAATTGAAAAGCTAAATTTGATATGATTAACATGAAATATTCGATGTTCAAAAACTTATTTCCAAAAGTTTTTTGTTTCGTTTTTTGCATGATAAACAACATAATTAAATTCATTTAAAAATGCAAATTATTGCAGCAAGTATATTGTCTTGTGAAGTATATATTGAGTAATGATATGGATCAATTACTGCTTCATGTGGCGAAGTCACATTATTTGTATTCTTGTTTGATAAGCATGCATGTTTGTTCATCCTGGTAGATTTTTTTTATAAAACTAGCTTGATGTTCGTAATATTTTTCCGTGTTTTGATGTGCTACTTGGATGGTGATGTTGGGACTGTCAATCCAGTGTCTAACTATATTTTAATTTAGATGTTAACCCCAGTAATAGCAACACGCTTTTGTTTTCCTTTCATCTCATTAAACTAAAGTGTACATTAAAAAAATGATAAATTAAACTTTATATGTATGCTACACAAAGACACGTTCTGACTATGCAATTATTGAATATAGTATAATTACGTATTTTAAAATATTGTTGTAGTATTAATAGCAAATTAAATATATAAGAGATTGCGTTATAAGCGAAGATCGAGACATATACTAAAAGATGTTTCTTACTTAACTTATCAATTTGAGCCGATGAAATATGTAATCAACAAGTGAATGAGTTAAATAAATCTTTACCTGATGGGCATAACCAATCAACTGTACAGGGTTTAGAATAGGCAGCTCACATTTGCCAGAGTCTGTGCTAGCTCTTAGATTCAGTTCCTTTTTCATCCTACAACTGGATTTACTCTTCCAGACTATAGAAGAATCTGATTCTAGAATGATTCTAGAATGCCTGACTCTAGAGAGAGACTAGAACAACACAACTGAATGGCTCTGTCTTCCATTATCTAGGTAGTGTAGAAACACCGTATGATTTTAAGGCAGTGCGTTAGGACCTACTGCCTTCTAAATCTGGCTACATTTATGACGCCATTATGTGAAGCGTGGAAAAGGGTAGTGCATTAATTCACACTAGCGGTTCTCACGCTTAATAAAGTCATCTCTCCCCCACCCGTCCTCTTTTTTACACTCTTGATGAGGTGTCTTTAATAATATGTCAAGCTTTACAATTTTTGTATTTTTTAAAGCATGTCTTTTATTGTTTAAACATTAAGTGCTGGTAGTTACTTAGACAGTTAATTTCCCCGTTGTGAGACAGTAGTGATATATAATTGGGTTATTCTGATGCTTAATGATTTATTGAAATCCATTAAGAGCATTGGTAAATATTGATTCAATCATTGTCCTATGATTTTTAGTTAATTTATAAACGAACAATAAACTAGAAATTAGTTATTTAGATTTTAGAAGTATATTTAAAAACTAACAGACCTACAACATCAAATGTTTTGTTGTTTTTTTGCAAAGTCCTTTTGAAATACTGCTGACAAAATAAAACACAACTCCTGATAAAGTCTAAGCACCAGTCGCCCAGAATATTAGAACCCCCAAAAGTAGGTGGTATCAAGCCCGGTGCATAAGTTCGACAAATTTGTGTCATTCCAGCTCATTGTATTTTTATGATTAATTCATCCTTTGGTTGTCTTTTAATATGCTGCAGCTTTATGTGGCATTGTAGTATTCCCTATAATATATATATATATATATATATATATATATATATATATATATATATATATATATATATATATATATATGTGGGTGTGTGTGTGTGTGTGTGTGTGTATTATGTCAGTACGTTTATGTTTCCGTGATATGTCCAGTGGAGTGTATGATTGTTAAGTCCGCTTTTTTATATACAGTAGAAAGTATGATGCTACGTAATGTCCAAAAGTTTATGTAATACTGATTCATGCTCTTCTCAGATGTGTTGGTGGGGAGGCGACATTCCTGATACGGCACTTCATTAACCTCTAGTTAA